GAGCAGCTGTGAACAGCACTATAGATTAATCTGTATCATGATGGGGGAAAAGAAAACCATTCAGGGGATAATGTTAATTACAAAAGTATGTATAGTGTGACACCATTGGTATAAATGATGATGACAACGGTAGTGCTAGTTGAATGGAGGAATGTTGAACGAGTATACATGAAGAAAAATCTCTTGGAATCAACTTAAAACTATTTAAATGTATATATCTGGGTATAGAATTGGGAGAGATACTTTCATTGTTAACATTTTAACATGTTTTTCTTTTTCCAAGGAGCCTATGTTACTTTTGTGGGCAATAAAAAAATAATACAGACAAAAACCACAAACTAATGACTGGCCATGGGCAGGGAAGAGGGAAGGGACAGAGAAGGACCCTGACAGTGGGTCCCTTGCCTCAGGGACAGATGATCAGACTCCTCTGTCCTTGGGGTCACTGTGGCGGAGCGCTGTGGCGGAAGGGGGGGTGCTTGGGGAGGGGAGTTGTGTTCTCCAGAGGTGGTAATTGGAGGCAAATTTCATCTCTGCTGCAGCCTCATTGGCCTTGTTCCCTGTTAGTCTGATACCTAGATCCTGCTTCTGTCCTTGCTTTTAAATAAATCCTTTAGGAAGAGAAAAAGGGAGTGAATGGAGAGGCAGGGTGGGGAGAGAAGAAAGGGGAGGAAGGAGGAAGAAAGGAGAGGCAGAGAGGAAAGAGAAGGGTGCACCGGGATACTGTGTCCCCCGCATCTCCATGGCCCCAGGAAGTGGGACGTGGAGCTGCTCCTCAGCTCTGTCAGGAGTCGCCATGGAGACTGAGTGCTGGCCTCTTCATGATTAATACTCTGAGGCAGCTGTCTTCTTGGAGTCTTTTTAAATATATACGCTATTATTTGAACACAATGATATTTAGAGCAGAAAGATCAAGGTGGGGGGTGGAGGAGGGGGCAGTAGCATTATCAGAATGATGACAGGGGCTGGGCCCTTCCCAGAAGAGAGAAAATGGAGGCTCACTCCTCCCCATCCCCCTCTTCTCCCTCCTCCCGCCCTGGATCCAGAGTTTCCAGTCTTTCCCACTGCAGCATCTGTCTGCATCATTGTCCCAAGGGCCTGCGCAGTGCTCAATGAACGTTTGATGAATGAATTTTTCCATTCATTCATTCATTCATTCAGTAATTGTCTGTTCCATGCTTGTCCAGAAGGTAAACTTTCCTTCCCCAACATTTTCCCATGGAAATTAGAAATTTCCTCTCATCCTCCCCAAGGCCACATGCACAAACACATGCACACACACACTCCCACCACCACCAACTTCCACAGTAATTCCCAAGGACCTTGCATGTGTTCCTCCTTAACACATATCTGATGTGACCCACAGTGTTTCTAGCCATGGTGGCCACTCCAGGGAATACTTGCAGGGAAGGACACCAGCCAGATTGAATTTGTACCTCATACTCTACTTGAAAAGCTGGAGGAAGAACCTCCACCTAGGCCATCCTAGAATGAATCCTTTTGTAAAATGAATAATCTTTTCAACTATCTTGTGGAGTAGACTAGACTGGGCTTGACTCTCAGTCCTACCACTGAATAGAAGTGGTACTTAGGGGCACCTGGGTGGCTCAGTTGGTGAAGCATCTGCCTTTGGCTCAGGTCATGATCCCAGGGTCTTGGGATCAATCCACACATCAGGCTCCACCTGCTTCTCCCTCTCCCTCTGCCTGTCATTCACCCTGCTTGTGCTCTCCCTCTGTCAAATAAATAAATAAAATTTTAAAAAGAAAGAAAAAGAATAAACCAAATCTTTTTTTTTTTTAAGCTAGGTCTTGAGCAAGTTACTTAACTTTATCTAGTCTGTTTTTTCATCTGTGAAAGAGGTCTCCAATTCCTTATTCCATAGAGTTTGGGGATGATTAAATGATCTGTTTGTAAAGTGCTCAAAGTGTATGATTTCCCTTTTTCCCTTCCTGCTTGTGTTTTTATATTTAAAGTGTGAATTAAAATTGAACTCATGGGTCTAAGTTCCTCTTTCTTCTATCCCCTCCCAAAGACCTTTATTCTATCTGGGCCCAGAATCTCTTTTAGAGATATTAAAATTTAGGGATAAGAGGGACTGAGCTGGGAAGAGCTACAAAGGCCCTTTCTCTTTATAGTCCTTCCTCCTCCTCAAGGAACCAAATGCAGATGCATTTACCCTCCAGAGGTAACCACCCCACATAGGAGAGTGTGTGTATGTGTGTCCAGTGAAGGTGAGTGGTTCAGCCCACACCCAGAACACAAGCTGTGTTCCCCATCTCCTCTCCTTCTCATTCTTCCCTCTGCAGCTTTGCCTGAAGGTCTGGCCTGTAACAAGAAGAAGTTGCAATGACTTGGACCCTTGTCTTAACACAGACCTAGACCAATAGCCCTTGGCAGAGAGCAGCAAAGGCCTGGGAACTTGCCAAAGGAGTAGGGGAATTATCTATGACTAAGAAGGAGGAGGAATGCTGTGGCAGAGGGAAGAACAGCAGAAGGGATGGGGAACCTGCGGCTGGCCAATCTGGCCCGACGGGGCAACCTGGGGAGCCCTGGACACCGGCCTAGCCAAACCCCTCCACTCCTTCTCCCTCCCAGGCAGCAAGATGCCAGAATGGATTTGAGACATGTGTGCCCTGCGTGTCTGGTGTGGGCTCACCTGGGCTTGGAGATACATTTGGATTACAATCAATCCCCAGGTCTGAAATAGAGTATAATGGAAATAGTGTTCTGTGTGTTTAATCCTTACAAACATGTGCTGGGATCCTTCACTTCCTACATGCAAACATATGTGTAGTTGACATAGAATTAGTACATCTGTGGCATTTGTTAGAACATGCTACACAAGCACGACTCTTGAAAAGCTTTGTAGGATTTCCAGACATGGGGAGAAGATGAAGGCAAGTGTATCAGCACAGGTTTTGCAGGTGATTATGTGACAACATATTCTGTGAACATACTTATAAGGTTATTGGAGGGTGGTGTTGGGGCAACTCGGGATGGAGATGGGTCTTAGGGTCCTGGTAGACTCAAAACTAAAATCTATCTTCTGGACCTTATTGTAAGCACTTAAGGAATGAATACTGCATGAATGAACACTGAGAAAATGAATGAATGAATTTTTGGATATTGGAAACAGGATAAAAGGCCTGAGAATTTGGTGGGGTTGGGACATTCTTGGCACTCTCTCTAAAAGGAGAGTACCAATGCGCAAAGGAGGCTGGGAGATACACGGCAAACCATGCTGTAGCCTGTCACCCCTAAGTGGCTTTGTTTCCACTCCTAGGAAAACAGAGATAGAAAAAGGAATCCCCCTGGTATCAAGTCCTGCATTGGGCTCCTTGCTCAGTGGGGAGCCTGCTTCTCCCTCTGTCTGCCGCTCCCCCGCTTGTGCTCTCTGTCTCAATCGCTGGCAAATAAATAAATAAATAAATAAATAAATAAATAAATAAATAAGGAACCCCAGCTCTGCCCTCCCCACTTTTCAGCTTCCAAGAATTGATGCTCTTTGTAAAGAAAAACATGCTATCCCTTGTATTTATCTAATCCCCTAATTTTGTTCCAGAAAGGAGGCAAATAAGCTATAAACCCAAAATTAAATGAAAGATTTTTAAAGAGAATGAGAAAGTAAGACAGAGCGGAAACCACAGTGGAAGAGAGATGAGATCAGGAGAGCAGGCAGGCTTCTTTGCTGGAATTAACTGATCTGCTGCAGCCAGAATGCACAGCCTCCTTAAGACATGGATATTTTCCCCACATAAGAAGCCCAATCATTCCAGGTGCTGATTCCAGAGAAATATATCCTGGGGATTCTCTGTGTGTTGCTGGAACAACATCCTTAGCGTAAAAGTCATTTATACAAAGGCAGAAAAAAGTCTGTGGAAACATCTCATACCTGAAAGGTGATGGGGGAAGGAGCAGGAATTGACCCCACTTCTATTGAGGGCAATTTGCCTGTGGCCTATCAAAATTTTACACACCCTTGACCCAGAACTACACTTATTGGAATTTATCCCACAGATATATTCACATTTATATAATTAAGAACGTTGATTACAACAACATTGGTAAAATCTAGAGGTTGGAAGCTTTCTACATGCTCGAGGATAGGGGACATATGGACCTCCCTCACAATGGAATACTATGCAGCCTTAGAAAAGAATGGCCCCACTCCTTATGTCCAGACACGGAGCAATCTCTCAACTATTATAAATGGGGGAAAATTATATTGCAAGGCAGAGTGTATGCTCGCATATACATTGTTTTTTTTTTCTGAAAGAATACACGGGAAACTTAGATGTTGCTACCTCAAGATGTAGATGGGTAGGAAAAAGAGACTTTTACTTTTCAGTTTAGAATATACTCTTCTGTACTAATGTACTTCTCTCATCAGTAGCAAGCGTTATCGTCCTTTTTAACTGAATTAAGTTATTTTTCCTAGAACAAACAAAAGGGGGAAAATATTAAGAAAACGCAAAAAAAAACACACAAGAGGGAGCAAACAGCGAATAATGGCAAGAATCTCTGTAGCTTACTGTGTCCTCGTCCATAGAATTTAATACGCTCTAACCCAATTATTCTTTACAGTAAACTTACGAAGGAGATATGTATGGCTCCATTTCACAGGTGAGGAAACGGACATTCAGGGAAATTAAATGGCATAGGTACTAAGTGGCAGAGAGCGGATTCGAATCCCTAACTGTGGAATCCCAAAGCCCACGGGGCTTTTCCTCGCGGACCGCGGGTCTCTGTCTGCAGGCGGGAAGGGCGTTAACCTAACGCCGGGCCCCACGCAGCGTAGCACCCCAGCTAGTGCCCCGGCGGCCCCGGCGCGCACGGGGTTCCACGCTCAGGGAGCGCGCGCGCACGCAGCGGCGCGGGCCCGGCGGCGGCGGCGGCGACGTCACAGGCCGAGCTTTCCTTTTCGGGAGTCCCCGGCACACATCCTGTGTCCATGTTTGGGCATTTACGTCACGGCGGCAGGGCCGGGGCCTCCCGAAATGGCAGTGGCCCGGGGAGTCGGAAGCCCGGAGCCAGCGCGGCCGCTGCTATATAAGTGGGGGGGCCGCGGATCGGGGGAGCCCGGCTGCGCTTTGGAGAAGCGAGGAGCCGCCGCCCGAGGCAGGTCCCGGCGAGCAAGGGCGCCTCGGCCCCCCGTTCCCTTTCCCAAAGGTGAGCACCTGGAGCCAGGAGCCCGGGTGCTTGGGTGTGTGAGGCACAGGGCACCCCAACAGCTGGCCTCCCCGTCACCCGCGCGCAGCCAAGCCCAGCGGGCGAGGCCCCCGGCGCCCCGCAGCCGCCGCCGCGCCATGCTTCACCTTAGCGAGTTTTCCGGCCCCGACGCGCTTCTGGTCAAGTCCACCGAAGGCTGTTGCGCGGAACCTAGCACTGAATTGTCCCGGCTGCCCGGTAGGGACGCGCCGGCGACTGCCGGCTACCCCGGAGGTAAGGAGAGCGGCGGAGGGTGCTCAGACGGCGGCGCAGAGCGGGGGCGCATGGTGCCTGAGGACAGACAGGGACCCGAACTGTAGAGCTGTGGGGGGTAGAGGTGGTAGGAGGCTCCAGGGTCCTGAGGTGCGCACCCCATCCCCAGCCCCTCTGTACCGCCAGCGCCTCCGCAGGAACTTGTGGGTTTATCAGGGCGTCCTTTTGCCTGTGCACGTGTGTTTTCGTGTGCATGTTTGTGTGTGCGTCTTGGGCGTATTCGGGCTCCAGCTGGATCAGAATGCGCAAAAGGCACTTTTATGTGTCGGTGCGCCCCCAGGGTTTCGGGGTAGGGGCTTGCAGACTCTGAGGCGCGTCCTTTGATGTGCCCGGAGCTGATTCCTGCTCCCTCCTCAGCAGGCGACTTCTTGAGCTGGGCTTTGAGCAGCTGCAGCGCCGGGGGGGACTTAGCCGATTCCTGCTTCCTGGAGGGGCCTGCACCCACGCCCCCTCCTGGCCTCAGCTACAGCGGTAGCTTCTTCATCCAAGCAGTACCCGAACACCCGCACGACCCGGAGGCACTCTTCAACCTCATGTCGGGCATCCTGGGTCTGGCACCTTTCCCCGGCCCTGAGGCGGCAGCATCCCGGTCTCCGCTGGACGCCTCTTTTTCCGCAGGCCCCGACGCCTTGCTGCCGGGTCCCCCGGACCTTTACTCCCCGGATCTGGGCGCTGCCGCCTTCCCAGAGGCGTTCTGGGAAGCCTCACCCTCGGCAGGCGCCCCCTCACAGTGCCTGTATGAGCCTCAGCTCTCCCCGCCCGACGTCAAGCCAGGCCTCCGGGCGCCCCCGGCCTCCCCTGCGCTGGACACTGCCTCGGCCTTCAAAGGCCCCTACGCTCCCTGGGAGCTGCTCTCAGCTGGAGCCCCAGGGAGCTGTGGGTCTCAGGGAGGCTACCAGGCCGCTCCCGACGCCCGTTTCCCCTCGATGGGGGCCAAGATTGAAGACCTGCTGTCCATCAGCTGCCCGGCGGAGCTGCCGGCCGGTCCCGCCAACAGACTCTACCCCACGGGGTCTTACGACGCTTTCCCGCTGGCCGCAGGTGACTTAGGAGAGGTGGCCGAGGGCCTCCCGGGTCTCCTGACCCCTCCAAGTGGGGATGGGGGGAGTAGCGGCGACGGTGGAGAGTTTCTGGCGGGTACTCAGGCTCAGGTTTCTCCCCTGGGCCTTCGCAGCACCGCGGCGGACTTCCCGAAACCTCTGGTGGCAGACATCACTGGGAGCAGTGGCGTGGCCGAGCCTCCGGGGCCACCGCCGCCGGCCCCATTCCCACCCACCAAGGCGCGGCGCAAGGGGCGCCGGGGCGGCAAGTGCAGCGCGCGCTGCTTCTGCCCGCGGCCTCACGCCAAGGCCTTTGCTTGCCCAGTGGAAAGCTGTGTGCGCAGCTTTGCGCGCTCCGACGAGCTCAACCGCCACCTGCGCATCCACACGGGCCACAAGCCCTTCCAGTGCCGCATCTGCCTCCGCAACTTCAGCCGAAGCGACCACCTTACCACCCACGTGCGCACTCACACGGGTGAGAAACCCTTTGCCTGCGACGTGTGCGGCCGCCGCTTCGCGCGCAGTGATGAGAAGAAAAGGCACAGCAAGGTGCACCTCAAGCAGAAGGCGCGCGCGGAGGAGCGGCTCAAGGGCCTTGGCTTTTACTCTTTGGGCCTCTCTTTCGCCGCCCTGTGAGGGGGAAATGGGTTTGTAGTTTGAGGCGCTGCCGCCCGGCACGAAAGAGGAAACTTGGCCCGACCCCCCACCCACCCCTTTTCCGGCACGTCCCGGGGCCTGCCTCTGGTCCCGCTTCCAGTTCCCTTGAAGTGCCCGTCGTTCACGCCTCGTTCAGCACCAGCTCCGTGGACAGCTCCTGCGGTCCCTGGCGCTGACTCCCGCGTCCGCCGCTCTTTGAAGAAGTCCTCTCAGGCCACCCACTGAGTAGGCACTTCCATGAGACTCAAGATAGCCTTTTGTAACTAACTTGGCGCACGCCCCACGCCCCTCATTAGAACCCCCAGAGTCAGGCTGGGGCAGCGCCGAGCCGGTCTCGCGCGGGATTTTGTACAGCAATGTCGTTTCCAGCAGCCATTGGATGTAACGTTTTGCTTTGGGGTTATTTCCTTTTGTTGTTGTTAATTTTTGTAAAGCAGACGCTACTCTCGAGCAGTTGACAAAACTGTTTATTTTTGCAATTAAAATTATTGTGCTAAAAGCTTACTGAATCTGCCATCTAAGCTCCTGACCCTTTCCCCCAAGTCACTCCCCCAGGAGAATATGTGCCAGAAGAGAAAGGAGATATTCAGCCAAAGGGATCATTACGCAGCTACTGTCAGGCACTGTGGCACATACTAGACATTCAATAAATATGTACTGAATTAACAAATGCATTTAATCACAACTGACCTAAGAGCTCAAAGTTTTTTCTGAAACTTGAGAGTGATTGAGATGTTGAGGTATTAAACATTTGGGGATATATGATCCTAAATCTTCACAATTCTAAATGCAGCAACATATATTCCATTTCAAAGGTGAAGGAGCAAAGTAGGTAACTTGCTGGGTAACCTGGCTAGTAAGTGATGGGGTCAAACACAGATCTGTTTGGCTCCAAAGCCAGTAATTTTTTTTTTTTTTTTTTTTTACCAACCCGAGAATGGTGGCACCTCACCTTAATAGCGCTTTTGGAAAGGCTTCCTACCAAGAAGTGAGATAGATTCGGGAACTAGAGGAGACCCAGGCAGTAGCCATGACAATGGAAGACTGCAGTATGGCAGAGCTGTCTGTGAACAACCGAAGTATTAGGTATCACAGAAGCTCCAGCCAGTGTCTGTGCATCTGTATGAGAAACAGGGGCTGTCAGGGCCAAACGGGACTCAGCATTCAGCCAGACCATGGATGGGCAGAGCCAAGCCACACAAGGTGCTTGCCAGATTCTCACAGTCATGTTAGTTGCTCCCAAACGATCTTGTTTAGGTGGCAGCAGCCCATTTACCATCCAGCCATGCACCTGCCATAGTCGCTTCTCCCTAACTCTCCTTCCAGATGAACCCTTCATGGCTTGGGAAGGGAGGTGGGGAAGATGGGGAATGGTTGCAACTTGGTCCCCCTTTTCTCCCTGAACTCCCAACTCAAAAGCTTTTCTGGTCACCTTGAGCAGACTCTGGAATAGTAGAAGTCTGCTGTTCACCCTCTCTCTCCTCCCCAGTAATTCCTTTCTGCTAAGGAAAAGATAGGGCCTGTCTGCAGGCTTCATTCTTTTCTCCTTCAAGCTGAGCTGTTCTTGAGTTAAGAGTGCCTTACAGCCCTGTGATGCCAGATCAGCCTGGCTTCGGATCCTTTGGCTTCTTTGTCCCTTCACTGTCAGACATGCTAACCTTCCACCCCACAGTTCAGTTGACCAGAGACAAAATAATCAAGTCAGAGAATTCCATCCATTTCTCTCCTCAGGTGTTAAGTGCTTTCATGGGATCCGAGTATCTCATATTTACTAGACCAGTTTGTGGTAAAGGACTCCACATTACCTCTTCTAGAAGAGTTAACATTTTAAGAGTAGCCTGCAGAGGGCAATATTTAACCCTGTAAAGAGGCTCAAATGATGGACCATCAGGCATTACAATAGGTAACTTGTAGATTCACAGACACAAAAGATAATGGTGAATTTCATCAGCTTCCTATTTAAGTGACCACACCTCTCACTTATAGGCATGGACCACCTGACTTCACTTTCCATGCAGAGTAAGGTAATGAAGAGCACAAAGGCCCAGATTTCAAGCAACTGGTTGCAAACCGTACAACCTAGACAAAGAAGGAAGGGCAGACAGGCTGTGGGTGGGTGGTGTCTAACCATGTCACCCTTGCCCTCTTTAACATCATTCTATCAAGTACCGTCAGCTCTATTGTGCCCCATCTTGTCCTCAAACACACACCTAGGCCTAAACATCACAAACGGGAAAATTGACCCCCACAGAAATGATTAAAGTCATGCTGCTGGTGCCAGAGCCCAGCCTAGTTCTAGAACTCCCAGCTGAAAAGCTCTTCATAGTATTCCCAAGGGAAATTGTTCCATATGCCAGAGCTTCCCCTAGGGATTGTGAGGGAAGAGAATGTTAACGTCAGAGATGGAAAGAATTTAAATAAAATCATCAGAAAATCTACCCAAACCCAAGACCCCCACAGAATCAGGGACAAACAGAGAGCTCTTATCTTACTTACTCTCTTCGTCATCTAGCCCTTATAATGAGGGTGTTTTCCCAGACGTCGCTCCTAGCTCTCACCTTCCCTATTTCAACACTTGTCTTGGAAAGCACATTCATTTCCAGGCCTTTAGTGATTACTGCTGTTTAAATGACTTCTAAGCCAGCCAGCCCAAGTATCTGCCCCAGGTGTAACTCCTTGGTCAGATTAATGAACAACTCCGTGTGGGTGTCTCACTGCCACTTAAAATACCGTCTAAAACCGTATCATTCATCTATACACCCAGTTTCTGCTAATGATGACTATCATTTGTTTGGGTCCCTAGACTCACCTGAATAACTTATAGTTCTTCTGTGGGATTCATCCTTGACCCCTCCTTCTCCTATATCCAGGCTGTCACTCAGAACTGTTGGATCTTACTGGGGCGCCTGGGTGGTTCTGTGGGTTAAGCCTCTGCCTTCAGCTCAGGTCATGATCTCAGGGTCCTGGGATCGAGCCCTGCATCAGGCCCTCTGCTCAGGAGGGAGCCTGCTTCCCCCTCTTTCTCTGCCTACTTGTGATCTCTGTCTGTCAAGTAAATAAATAAAATCTTTAAAAAAAAAAAAAAAAAAGAACTGTTGGATCTTACTGAAGATCTTCAGGGTCTTATCTGCTCTCATCCCTGGTGCATTGTTTCCTTTTATGTAGTGTGATTTTTAGCTGTGAGTTCACCTTCAGTGGGCATTTACCTGGCAATAATACTCTGTGGCCTGGGTTGAGGGTATGTTTTTCCTGAGCAATTTTGCGTTTGCTTGTGCCGTGCATCCCAAGAATACCAAATAATGGAGATCAGTCTCTTTGTTAATTTCTTTGCCTGGGTTTCCTGTATCACAGGGGTTGTGAGTTCAAACGCTAACTCATATAGTTATGCATCCTCAAGGAAACTCCCCCAAATGGGGCCCAGGTCAGCATAGGCAAGCAATAAACCTCCCTCCCCATACCTCCTGGGGTTACTCACAGCACATCCCATGCTTATATTTCTTGGTCTCCCAGTTCTACGCCCAGTTTTGGTCCATATAGATTTTCTCTCCGTGATTGCATTTTTGGTTAAGCATTTCAGAGGTCTGTTATATTTTGTGAGTGAGTCCACATATTCTGTAGCAGGAGGGTCTTTGGTTTATCTATTCCACAATACTGATTGAAACTGAAGCCTGAATATGTTGGTTCCTTTAGTGAAACATTTTCCATGTTTATCTTCTCTGTGCCTATTGCCAGCATCTCAGTCCATGCCCCTCCCTGCACATACACAAACACCATGGATATGACAATCACATAGAATCACATAACATGTAGTTGGAAGGAATTTATAAGAACATCTTTTCTAACCTCTCTATGTATAGAGAAAGAAACTGAGGCCTGAGAGATTTGGGGATTTTCTTAAGGACACACAGAGAGTGAGAGACTGAAGTGGACCTTGAACCTGGGCCTTCCAGTTCCAAGACCAGCATTTCTCCTGCATATCTAGTCATTCCACAACCATTGAGCATTTACCATATGATGGTAAGGCCATATTGAGCCGGGCCAGTGGTTCCCACCTTTTTTCCTTTCCAATATACTGGAAGAATTCAACACATACATGAGTAACGAAGGTCATTCTAGTCTTGACTTTCATCATAGAGATACAGGGAAGAGTAATTAAAAATCTTGATGAAGTGGGAGATTTTGACAAAGCAACTTGGAATGCCTGCTATTTCTTCCCTCATCCCCCCAACTCCTGTGCCCTGTTTGAGACAAGCCTGTACTGTACCAAACTGCTCTCTGTGGTCTCTCTCCCTCCACTCCACATTGCATATCACTACTGATACAACTTCCCTAAAGCACTCATGGTGTTGTATCCCAAAATGACCACAGCTTCCATCTTCCTACAAAAAAATATACACTGCAGTTAAAGCCTTCCATATCTGAACAAGATTCATCTTCCATCCTCTGTCTTCTCTCCTTTTGCTCTCTCCTCTCCCCTTGTGTATTATCCAAATTGTCCCACACTTGAGCTCCTTCAAGAGCAGAGACCACGTTTGATCCACATATGTGGGCTCCGTATCATCATGCCCACTCCCCAGCACATTTAAGTGCTTAATTTTTTTTATAGATTATTTATTTATTTATTTATTTGACAGACAGAGATCACAAGTAGGCAGAGAGGCAGGCAGAGAGAGAGGGGAGGGGAGAAGCAGGCTCACCGCTGAGCAGAGAGCCTGATGCGGGGCTCCATCCCAGGACCCTGGGATCATGACCCAAGCTGAAGGCAGAGGCTTTAACCCACTGAGTCACCCAGGTGCCCCTTAAGTGCTTAATTATTGAGTGGATTGGTTCCGCCCCCAAAAAGGTCTAAAGTGCTAAAAGGAGAAGGAAAAGAGGAAGGAAAGCAGGTGTTTGGAGAGCATGAAGCTGAGAAAAGATTAGGAGGGAGAGATGGGCAGAAGCAGGACTGAGGTCCTGCTCCAAGCCATGGGGGTGTCATG